TGTCATGTTTTATTTTCTGAGAACAACTTCATCTTTATGAAAAGTGTGGGGGATGATACAATGTAGAATTTATCTTTTAAGGCATAGGTCAAAATCAAACCCTTAACATTCACTTAGGAAATCACCTGGAAACTAAAAGATGTTCTGCTACAGGGAAAATACTTTTCATTGTGTTCTTCATTGGTTTCTATTCATGGATGGATGTAAGAGGTGATTACTACACGTTATGTCATTACTAGGAGTTGACGGTACCAGAGAGAATGATCATCAGAATTGGACCCAAAGCGTGTTTATAGAGTGTAAAGCATTTCCAGACACTTCATCACCTGATACCTTACGATTCCAATGATTCCAGTACTGTATGTTTGGGAGCAGATGAACTGAATTCATATCAGCAAATATAAATATTAACAGTGTCTCAGTAAGTCAAATGAAGGTGCTCCTTTTATTGTTAAAAGCAAGAAATAGCCCCTCTTAAGGAGTGATTCATCCCATTCTAAAGTAGGTGACTAAAACAGGGCAGGTGAAAACTGCTCTAACACCTCTTCTGTTTCTCTCTATTGACTGTAAAATGAGATCTCAGATGATTAGCTGAGGTGGCTACCTGGCAGATACCTAAGCTTTGGTAAGATTAATGGTAAGCAATGTCAAAAAGGTCTGTTATAGCAATATGAAACATAGCACCTTTTTTACAATTTTTTTCTAGTCTTCAGTGGAATGCATTGCTGTTTCAGAAAAGCAACTTCTTCTTGTAACCATAATTGCAAGCAATTCATCTGCTATGCAAAACCTGAATAAATATTATCTTGATACCATTTACTGCCTTTATTTTAAAAAATGGAGGCCTAATAGAGAAGCTGCATTCATATGACCAGTTAGCCTATGGAAACAGTTCCATTCAGCAACTCTTCAAAACTGCAACACAACTGATCCATACACATGAAATAGAAAGGTTAAAAAGATAAATATCTGATTAAAAGGAATTTGTTCTAACCTTTGTTTCTAACTCCTTGACACTTCCCATGACTTCACTGGTGCACCCTTATTCACAGCTGTCTTAAGAACATTGAATAGTCTTGCTATGAAGGGAGTCACACTGTACCACTACCTGAAAGGAGGCTACAGTGAGGTGGGTGTTGGTCTCTTCTCCCAAGTACCAAGTAATAGGACAAGAGGAAATGGCCTCAAGTTGCTCCAGGGGAGATTTAGATTGGATATTAGGAAAAATTTCTTCAATGAAAGGGTTGTCAATCATTGGAAGAGGCTGCCCAGGGAAGGGGTTGAGTCACCATCCCTGGAGGTATTTAAAAGACATGTAGATGGGGTGCTTAGGGACATGGTTTAGTGGTGGACTTGGCAGTGCTAGATTTATGACTGAACTTGATGATCTTAAAGGTCAAAACAATTATATTATTCTATTCTATGATTCTGTGATAAATGGGTAATTACAGGAGAGAAGAAATTTACAGTACAAATGAGGGAAAATGATACTACCATGTGTTAGAGATCTGAGTTTAAATTTATTACTTATGCACAGAGCAAGTGAGCAATAACTGCTGAGTGGTCCCACCATATTTATATTGACACCTGTTGGTCAATAGAGAGACCAATAGAGTTTCTGGTGGCAGGCACACACTGACCTTATTAACATCATGCAAAGGTAGTCAAAGATGCACTGATTCCCTATACACAAAATGAGTTGTAACATTGTAGCCTAAGGAGTAGCAGAAGGAATAAAAGCAAAAGATAAGATTAAAAAAAAACAAATCCAAAAACTGTGCCTTAACTTGGAAAAAGATTTAGCAAAAGAATAAAGAAATCAGGGATTTTTTATATATTATCTGTGCTTCACATTTGGTAATGAGGTAATAAAATTTATGTATTCATTATGAGGATGCATCCTAAAGACAGGCATTTTAATTTCTGCATAAGCAATGCACATAAAATTTGTCACAAATAGAACTATAATTTAGAATAACAATTAGAACCCATTACAGTTATTTTGATTTTTTTTTTCTCTTTTTTTTTCCCCTTATCCTAATTAATGTAATACAAAATGAGATTTTAAGCTTTGGTTAATTTGTTTTGCGCAGAACAAAGTACTTGTGCAAGCTCCTCATCACATAAAAATATGAGGGGGAGGTGAATTGAAGAAGCAATAATATTAATGCCCCCTGAATATTCTATTAAACATTTTTAAATAGATGCTTGGATCTTCTAATTGTCAATATTAAACTGTCTGAAGAGTTGACATTGTATATACTGAGTCTCTTAACAACTTTGGTTTTTTTCAAACTCTGACCATGCTAAACACTTGATATCCCAGAGGAATTTGCATAAAAATGTCATAGCACCCTTCTGAAAATGTGAATACAGCCTTTGAGACCAAATTTACAAAGGTATCTTGACGTTTAAAAATGAAGATAAGTTTGAAGCTAATGCTTTGTAAAAACAGGTCCTGGAGACCCCTATCTTACTTGTTATCATGTTTGTGCACAAAAAAAAAAAAAAAAGCAGAATAAGATAGTACTGAAAGAAAGAAGCACAGTAAACTCTAACTCAAGCTGAGTGTAATTTTCTAGCTCTATTATATAGATATATTAAGTAGTAAATTAGTGTTTCTGATTTTAGTTAAAAATAAGCCAAGCTATAATATATTCATATCCCTAGATATCCCAGAAGCCATTGTGTATTTAGTCCCTCGATTAATATGTAAGGCAGAAACTCATTCACACTCTTCCATAAAAATGTGATGGATCTCCTTCAAAATGGTCATGTTGACTACATAAAGAAATACATACTTTATACTACAGGTAATAATTTTTATTGACTTACTTACTTAAGCTTATTTTAATCCTGCTAGTTCCCGACTAGTACCTTATTAGTACTAGTTTTCCTTAAGGTTTACAGAAAATATCTGTTGATTTTTGAAAATCAACAAATTTTGAAAATAAATATTAAAATAAATAGATTGATGTGGCTTCAACTGTTTCCTTTCGGTTCTTCTTCTAAGGCTACATTTAGTGATAAAAAGCCAAACCATGACACTATTACCTTTCTTCATAAAGGGTGGTGATTCTTTAAATCCTTATGTCATTCTGTAAACATCACTCGGATCAGCTTTGTAGGGCCAGAGACTTCGTTAATCTCGTTGTTGAAAAATAAATAGCATATAAGAAAAGGAGATTTAAAACTCATTTTTCTAATTTTGTTTCCATCAGCACATTTCTCAGTCATCTACTTTTCACAGCTGTTTTGCACATTTTTATTTTTCTTCCTTCTGGTACTGGGATGATCAGTTTTAACCTGAAAACAACTATCTTTTGATAGCTTCCACGTGACACAGTGGAACTACATTCTAGATAATGATTAGTGTGTTGAGTCAGTGGTTACCTGAAAGCATGCAGCAAATGTGGGAGGTGTCATTGATAAATATATGGGTCAGCCAAGAACTGGCTGCTGAGTGTGTCTTCTGACCACATTGCATAAACACGTGGTGGACAGAAATAGTGAGAAAAATCAGATAACATCAGGAGAAACTCGTGACATTAATAGAAGCATAAAAATAAGCAGAGAAAAACCACTGAAATTATGCTGTGTACTTGATCTCATGCTCTAACCTTTGCAAAAGGATGTTGTGTATTATAACTAAATCTAGAAAAGTGTAACTTCCCAGTTCCCATCTTATATTAAAAGCTCCAGATACAGTGAAAAAAGGAGAAAAGGTCAAATCTTGAGTGTTATAGTTACTGTATTTTGGGTTTGGTATTGCAATATAAAGCAGCTTTTCTTTTCAATGGCATTCTATTGTGAAGTTGAGGATTTTAGAACTGCTCAGTACCGTGTGATAGAACTATTAAGATTTGTAGATTTCTCTCTATGTGACAACAAATACAAAAATTTTATGGGGAAAGAATGAGTTTATCTAACTGTTGAACTATATTACTTTGAACAGAAATATCAATATACACTTAATCCTCTTATAGTATGAAATGATTTTTCCAAGCACAGCAAAATAAAATCACAAGTGTTAGTTTCTTACAATTTATATTTGCGCGTTTTAATTTCATATTCTTTTTTCCCAGTTCTCCAAGATATTCTTGTGATTTCCGATTTATAGTTTATTAAGTTACCAGTGTAAGAGATTTATAAGAGATACTAATCTTAAAAAAAAAATCATTTAAAAATGCTGGCTGGGAGGTTCTTGATGGCAAGAATGACACTTATTCCTCACTAAAACAAAGTAGTTTTTAAGTTTATTTTATTCTGTTTTACCTTTTATTTATTAAAAAGTGTATCAGTCTGCAAGATAAAGACAATTGTGAAATTACGAAATTAAGTGCAATATAAGTATTAATTAAAGACAAATATTATGCATCCATATGTGTTCTTTTAGCTAATATAAAGTCTTTTAGAATAACTATATGCTGTGAGAGGCCTGCCATATGTTACTCAGATAAAATTAATTCCAAAGTCACATTGCAAATAAGCAACATGAAGTTTGAAGATTTTAAGCCCTATTTTGATGATATTTTTATGTTTTTAGTCATACTATGGTTAGGCATTTATTTCATTGTTTGCAGGGAGGTAAATGGCTGTGAGTTTTGCTCCGTACACTGAAGATAATGAAAGTTTTATCACCAATTTCAGTGCAAAAAATAAAATAAAATCACAGCCTGGTTGATATCCAGATAGTTACTCAGATTTTAGTCTCATTATAGAAACAAAACCAGTATTCCTAACTCTTGTCTTCCTTTCCACACTTCACAGGGTCTATTTGTATCCCTATTATATAGTTGAATTAATAGTAGTTTAAAAATAAAAGTTTCTAATACTGTTCAGGTCACTGAGATGTCCAGAGAGACTATTCCTCCTGCTCTTCACTTTTTGTGTAGAGTTATTTATATCGAACTACATTTATTTAAAAAAAATCTTTTGATACTGCATGGTTTGTAAATACCAAGTAAATAAGTTTGCATGTGTTATCAATCCTTTTTTAGGCTGCCTGGAATTGAAAGAAGACACCATTGAAAATCTTCTAGCAGCTGCCTGCCTTCTCCAGCTCCCACAAGTAGTAGAGGTTTGCTGCCATTTTCTAATGAAGCTTTTGCACCCATCCAACTGTTTGGGAATACGAGCATTTGCTGATGCACAAGGATGCACAGAGCTTATGAAAGTGGCTCACAACTACACCATGGTAAGACAGTTTTAGAATATCTGAATTATGACCTTGTGAATCCTCTATATCTTTTGTGAGGAAAAATATCTTGTTGGTTTTTAGCATGAAATCGTTCTGTACTTGTATGGAACTTTATTTCATAAGTGGCCCTTTTAAAATGATAGGAGTGGTGATTCCTCTCAACTTCCGTGAAGTTATGAGAATTGGATTGCTATGATGAATGCTGACTTAGAACAGTGTATGCCTTAATTAGAGGCATGTTCACATACAGGTGATAACAGTAAAAAGTATCTGTAAGTCCTTAAAATACATTTTAATCACTATTCCTTGTTGTTTAGTTTTAGGGAAGCTTTGTAAGCATTGTTCTGCACAGGAATAATATCAAGGGACGATTTGGGATTTTTTTTTTGTGTGTCCTTTTATTCATCTGTGAAGTAGATTAAAACAGAAAGTTGAAGACATAAAGAACTTTATCTGGCAATATTTTAAATTTTTCCAGTTACACCTGACAGACTAGGTATGGCATTAATATTAAAAATTAGTCGGAATCAATGAAGCAAAAATATGCTACTTATTCAGAAACTAAATCATATCGGTAGCCATTTGATTCTTCATAGTTTGACAATATTAAAAACATCTGGCTCCTGAAATTAAGTTTACATAAAGAGTAGATTACATATAATTTCTGAGAAATAATGGTCCCTTAAGGTGTATACTGAAATTATTATCGAAGTCATGCAGCAGGTTTCAATGAATCTGCTTGGCTTGTCCAGCAGTTATGTCCTTATTTTATTTATTCTTTTCTGTAACTAATACCATATTGTAATTCACAGATTTAATTGTGTTTTTCTTACCACTACAGCCCAGGTAGTTATATCCATTTTACACTTATGGAACTAGTTCTATGACTGGTTTTAATTTTCTCTGTATTTAGACATCTAAAATGTAGTTTTCCAGGTCCAAGCTAGTCAGTTAAACCTTTGTCTGTCAGTGGAGAGAAATAAGATGTCAGAACGGAATTCATCTGACGTAGCTTAGAATGAAATTGCATTAGAAGTGAACAGCTATGAGTTGAAAAAATCAACCTTTTTATCAATGTATTTTTTAGATTTATGTATTACTTTGATTGGTTTTTTAAGTGAAAAGCAAGATAATGAACCATGAAAAAAATTTAAAAACCCTAATAGAGAAAAACCTCAATTTTAAAAAATTCTCGTGATACTGTAAAAAAATTTATTGAAAGATTTTTGGGGTGAATGAAATTACTCCTTACAGTACATTTGAAGACTTGGGGCTGATACATCTTATGTATCGCAAAGCTCACAAAGATCTGTGCCCATTTCTAAGATATTAGGTATATTATATAATCTATTACCATTTTTAATGTTCAGGTCTAAAAACTGAAGTATGTGTGATGGGAAAAATCACCAACAAAAGATGGAAGATCAAAAAGCAAGGCAGTTGTAATTAATAAGCAAGCTCTGATGTAACTACAGTTACATTGACAAGCATGCATGATAGCGACACTCTCTTTGCTAGAAAGACACAATCACATCACAATCACATCTATTCAGTTATGCAATTGCAGTATATTTTCTGTTCATGATTAAACTTCTGACCCAGTGAAAACATAATCCTGAAAGTCAAGCTTCATAATGCATCATATTTTCATAGGCATTGTGTCATCACATTTAGGTGTGAGGCAGCTCACATCTATTTGATTTATTGTTTGTGTCAAAGGGTGTGGATGACCAGTTGTGAGTGGGGGAAGGGTGCCTTATTGCCTGTCTTGACTACAACACTCTGGATCAGAGAGAATTTACAAAGTAGACAAGTGATTGTTTCTTCCACATGCATGCATAACCAGGAAAAACTTCTAGAGTGCAAGGAAAATACCCTGGAGAGTGTAGTAGAGGAACAGCAAACAGAGACCTTCTGATGTGAAGAAAGGGTAGGAAAGTGATGAGCAGAGCGAAGAGCAGATGCATAGTCTCTGATGTGACAGAAAGCATTATTTTTTCGTTCAGACTCCATGGCAATAGTACGGACTGTGATGAGAGCAAATGAAAAGTAGAGCAAGGAGGAGCTTGTTAACAACTACTTGTCTTATGTAGAGGATTTGAGGGGAAGCCCTGCTTGAAAAAGGATGGGGAAATCCTTGTTTTAAAAAAGTTCCCATGATTTCAAGAGAGCTTTGATGCCTTTTCTTTAAGGCTTTTCAGGGTACTTTCTTTAAGGATTACAAGTGATGTATCTCAAATTCTGGCTCTGTGAATCCTCTTCCAAGGTATCCTTGTAAAAGGTCATTTGTTGTGAATAGGAAATAATGGTAGTCCCTTAACTCTGGCATATTGTGTGGTTGTTTGCTTGTAAAAAATTACCATTCTTTGAAAGCTATAGAAAATAAATAACTTAAGAAGTTTTTGATATGAAGGCAGGATAACATAGTGAATGCAGCTTTAAAAGTCTGAGTGTTTCTGCTTTCTAGGGAAAGGGCAAGAAATTCTTGTTGACCCCATCGTATCTCTTAAATATTGTAGCCAAGAACGGTCAAAACCAAAAATAATAATTTTTATTCCATTAACCATAATGCTATAGAGAAATACCGCTAGACCTGACAAGAAATAGTAGTGCTGTACCACAAAGTTTTTTAGATTAAAAAAAAAATCAGAGACATGTTAATTCTGTACTGGTTATGGGAAGAGGGAACAAGACAAAGTTTTTTGAATAGTCTTGCAAAAACTAGAGTTATAGACATGGCATATGTGATAGTGTAATAATTTTGAGATATGACTCAAATCTCATCTTGGAATAATCTTGCTTCTTAGTTAATCACATAGATGAAATTAAATATTAATTGATTAAAAAAAAATAAAAATTCTCTGTAGCCCTTAGTTGAGGTGCTCATTTAAAGTGCTGGAATCTTAGGATAACTCTGAGACTGCATTGTACCTGGCAAATGTCTTGCAACTTTCCTCCACCAATTAGTTTTAATTATAAAGTCATTCACAATTCTCTTCACAATAACACTTTAATGAAATTCAGTATATTTTCATGAAAAGAATTTGCTTCATTGAATCTCCATAAATGTTTTAATTTTCATTTTTTAAAAGCAATTGCTTGTCTAGTGTCAGACTTGATATTTTTTAAGTTCTGAATTACAGTGTTGTTCCTTAAAAAATAATTTTTATATATACGTGTATATTCATATATAATCAGTTTGCCTTGGGCTTTCACATAATGTGTTATGAGGGCAAGACATTTGAGGTTGGAAATTTCATTATATTGAAAAAGAAATGGCTGCTGAAGAGCAGACCACTGAATTTAACAATCCTGTAGACGTCAGGAGATATGTAATTTCCAACACGTTTTTTGTCGTATTAGATAACTGTTCAATTCCCCTCAACCATGAAAACTGTAGAAGCCATGAATGCAAATTTTTGTTTGCATAGTTGACACAAGTATGTCCCAACTTAATTCAAATGTGACAAACTTTTTTGAAAATGCAAAGAGTCATTGCTAAGCTTGGACAAAGCTTCTAATGGAAGTAAAATTCATTAACTGTATGTTTATGTATCCCTTTCCATGAGCAGAGTTACAATATCCGGAATATTTACTAACATATTTAGTATTCAGTGTCAAATGTCAAATTATTCTTTTGAAATGCAAAATCTAAGCAAGGAAAAGAAAAAAGTGTGCATGGAGGAGGGGAGGCAGTGAGGAAATGACGATAAGAAAAGCAGTGAAGGAAAACCAGAGAACATCTGAAAAATCTTTTAAAAAATACACTATCCAAATAGCACATTATGAGGTTGGTGGGGGAAGAGAGAAAGGTAGATTTAACAAAAAGTTAGTGAACAATGAAAGTTGGAAATTTCAATTTTTGCATTCCCCATAATTTTTATAAAAGGAACTTGGATAGGAACATTTTAACTTAAATCATTAGAAGCAAGAAATTAAAAATAATAGCAAAAAATGCAAAGTTTCATTAGTTTCTTTTTTTTTAAGCACATCAGGTTTAATGTGGGTTGTTTTATTTCTGAGGTGTGAAGTTGCCCTGCCAGTGTTTTATGATATGGGTTTATGGGTTTTTTGTTTGGTTTGGGGTTTTTGTGTGTTTGTGCATTGTTGATTTGTGTATTTTTTTATCTTTTTTAATGAATCTGCTAATTTAAATGACAGCACAAATATCCATGTCTTTGTTGATTTAAGACTTCTGTACTTCTTAATTACAATCTGGGTTTTTGCTACCTTGTCAATTTCTGTAATTTTTCAATCTGCAAAGCCATATGTCTGATAACTTTAAATTTCTAATTTTTCATCAGAGTTATATGATGGTACAGTGAAATACACATGTGATGTCTTTAAAAAAAAAACAACAAAAGCAACAAAATGGAAAATATCAATAAGCTAAAGAAAATGCATCTTCTTCTAACACATTTTTAGTGACAGTTCTTTATTCTTGTAGTTATGGTTTTCACATGAAGGGAAGTAAACCTCTAAAGTCAGGAAATTATCAGCTTGTGATACTTACCAGAAATTAGACTTGTAGTATATGGTCTTATCTGTCTCTTTATAAAACAGAATAAAGTCTAATTCAAAATTGTAATGTCAACATTATTGGGAAGGAATTCTTTTTAGAATTTCAGAATATGACTTTTTATAATGTACATTACTTTGAACCATTATATGTTTATTGCTGAAAGTTTGTAATAGATCCTCACAGTCAAAAATGTCTTCCTAATGTCTAATCTAAATCTACCTTCTTTCAATTTAAAGCCATTACCCCTTGTCCTGTCACTAAATGCCCTTGTAAACAGTCCCTCTCCAGCTTTCCTCTAGGCCCCTTCAGGTAGTGGAAGGCTGCAATAAAGTCTCCCCAGAGCCTTCTGTTCTCCAGGCTGAACAACCCCAACTCTCTCAGCCTGTCTTCATAGGAGAGGTGCTCCAGCCCTCTCATCATCTTTGTGACCGTCCTCTGGACTCACTCCAATAGCTCAATGTCCTTCTTATGTTGG